TCATTTTGCACATACATTAAAACCACGACCCAGTGGACCACCTGGTCCTCAAATTTTTGCAGGGTGATAATAAAAAATGCAAATAAACAAAGCAAATAAACCTCTTATATCTTCGTTATTTTTTGCCTGCGCCAAATATTGGCATCGTAGTAATCAGCGTAAAAAGTTCGGCATTTTTGGTTATTTTATAGCTAAACGGTCACCATTCTACACTTGTTCTAGAAAATTACATTTAGTATGATGAATTTTTGGTTTTACTACTAATATCACTAGAAACTGTAGAGTAAGCAACATTCTGCACAAGTAAAGGAGCCGATTTTATGTGTGGGAGCGAGAAGACTGTTTTATTACAAAACCTTTCTATTATTGAATCATGGGCAATTATGAAAGTTAAAATAAGCAGTGTTGCCGCCGCTCAAAGAACTTACTAATCAAGATTAGACGAGAAAGTTACCAAATGCAAGGAAAAATAACCAATTTTTTTATTAGATTAACAACTCCCTTCATCACAAATTCTTTTATATAGTACGAATAGACAAATTTTACAAACCAAAAAAATCAAGTTTTATTTACATTTTTGAAAAGTAAATCCTTTTAAGGCTGAAAATAAATGAAATACTTTCATATATAAGTATAAATATATAAATACATATTTTAGAAAATCAGGCTTCCCGTATTAGGTGCATATGTATGTTAATATCTTCGTAAACATTACCAGACTCTAAATGCCGTTTTTAAATAAGTACATAGGTACACAGTTTCGAACTTCTTTGTAAGAATCAATGAAATACCTAATCAGCGTAAACAACCACATTGTAAATATTTTATAATTAAGATTAAACAATTAAAAATTGGACTGTATTGAACTATGTCGTCACTCAGCGCGAAGTACCTCGTATACGCCAAACGCAGTACAGCGTATACGATGGTAAATAAATTTTACAAAAGCGCGAATGGTATTTCCCTTCAACCTACTTGCTATAAGATTATTATTATTAATCTTAACTTAAATTGATAGAGTAAGCAGTAATGGAAAAATAATTACCAAATTCCTTTTTATTTTACCTCCCTTCTATTAGCGAGGTTTTAGTTTTCTAAACTATAATTTTATTTATTGTACATACATGACGTGGTATTGGGTTCCGCATATACGAGGTATTTATATATGTACTATTTGAGTATATATTCATTTGAAGTAGTCTTTAGCCGACCATGTATATTATGTATTCTGTATATTATAAAACAAATACATACATATGTAAGTAATATTAATACAATGATTCTAAATAGTCTAAAAGTTTTTTGGAAATACATATTATGCAAAATAAAACCCAAATTGTGTATTTTTTTCACTTATCCATAGAATTGAGCCCGTATACATTATGTTGAAACACCAATTTTGCGCGGAATTCTAATAATTTTTCGCGGCTTTTTAATGACTCTCGTATTATTCAAATGTCATTTCAGGTACATACTATATAGGTGTGTGCAACGAACATAGAAATGGTGTAACTGCGGGGCCGTTTCAAAAACTTGGCGATTAATTCACCGCGATTTATTAAAGATACGAACCGATAATAGTTGCACCTTCAAACTTTTACATGTTCTTTTGCATATGTAAACACATGATTATTATCGGAATCAGTCGAATCGTGAGTTGCCATTTTAGTAGTAATAACTTTAGTTAAATAACCATATTGAGCAGAATAAATGTATTTGTTTATACTATTTTTCAAAGATTTAATTATTGTATGTATACAAAAATTAGAAACTGCAGTAAATGCTAAAAATAACCAAAATGGGAAAGATCTTAACAACTTCACAGGCAAGAAAAAAATAACCAAAATTGGTTAAAAGTAATAAGTTAAAACTTCCTCAGAAACAGTGAGTGTGAGTTGTATGCATGTACGTACCTATGTATGTACACATAAAAAACAATTGCGCTTGAATATTTTTCGCTGGTTTTGGTTACAGCCTGATATATTTGCATACATACATATGGGTGTTTCCATACAGCCGTACGCGACATTCGTACGCTTATAGAGTAACGTAAATCTATCAAAAATAGAAGTTACAGAAAAAAAAAGATTACGATTATGTTGCTACCAAAGGGTACTACGTTTGAGAAAAAAATAAGCAGCCTCGAAACTTTGGTGTGGAAAATATCCGTTCAAAACCAGGTGATAACATACGCGACAAAAAAAGAAGTGGTTTTAAGGCACATATACATATATGCGAAAGTCTGCGAATCATGAGAGTTTTTGTTTTCTTTAAAAATTCCTAAACTAAGCTAAATAATGTACCTTTACAATCCTTCCATTTTTTGATAGAAATTATCTCTGGTTAGTTTTTATTAAAAAAAAAAATAATAATAACGTACGCGACATAACGTACGCGACAGATTTTTCCCCCATACAATATTTTTACTAGTAACACATACTAAATTAAATTTTTTCAGTTCTTCTCTCCACCGTTTCGCGTTTTCAAAACCTTTTTCCGCCATCTGAATACGAAATTTAAAGTTATATAGCCGTTTGAATTCATTTGCTTGCATTTTCGGTTTACATTTTCATGGAAACACGCATATATGCGAAA